TAACCAACCCTTTTAACCAGATACCTTCTTTAGCTGCTTCTGTCAACGCCATGTATTCTGCTTCAGTAGTAGACAAAGTCACTGTAGGCTGTAGTGTCGCTTTCCAACTAATAACAGAGTCACCTAGAGTGAACATGTAGCCTGTCATTGATCTCCTGCTATCTACATCTCCAGCGTAATCAGAATCAGAATACCTTGTCACCTGACACGGACTCTCACCCCCGTATATGATACCAACATCAGATATACCTCTAAGGTATCGAAAAATTTGCTTAACAGCCAGCCAGTGTTCCTTTCCTGGATGCCTCATGAATCTGCTAACAATACTGACTGCATGTGCTAAATCTGGTCGTGTGCAAACCATAGCATACATCAGGCTTCCTACAGCGCTAGTATAAGGAACTCGAGATATATATTCGACTTCTTCTTCAGACTGAATTGAAAACATAGTGAGATGAACGTTTGCTGCGGTTGGAGTGTCAATAGGTTTAGCTGAAGACATTCAAAACCTTGCTAAAACCTTTTCGATGTAGGTTTTCTGCAACAAGAAAAGCTTCTTCTGTCTTCTGTCTCTGAAGATTTCAATTCTTATAATCTTCTTCGCTGCACCCAGATCTTTCATCTCAAATTCGGAGCTAAGCAGATCCTTCAGCTTCTGAACGTCACACATCTTACTTGCAGCTATCAGCATGTCATCCACTTAAAGCAACATATAAATATATGATCCATCTTTCAGCTTGCAGTAGTAGACACAACAATCATAAAGGCTCCTGATGTATCCCAACTTGTTCATGTAGCTGTCAAACCTCTTATACCACTGTCTGGGAGACTGCTTAAGACCATACAACGATTTTCTTAACTTGTAAACATATTCTTCCTTCCCTGGAACTTCAAAACCCTCTGGTTGAGTCATGTATATATCTTCTTCCAACTCTCCATGAAGAAAAGCAGTCTTCACATCAAGTTGCTCAAGCTCCAGATCCTGACGTGCCACTATTGCAAGCAGCGTTCTGATTGAAGTGTGTCTGACTACTGGTGAAAAAATCTCATTGTAGTCAACTCCTTCTCTTTGAGTGAAACCTCTCGCAACAACCCGAGCTTTGTACTTGACTCCTTCTGCAGGTGATATCCCTTCCTTTATTTTGAAAATCCACTTGCAAGTAACAATCTTTCTCCCTGGTGGTCGTGCGACCACATCCCATGTCTAATTCTTATCATGAGACTGCATCTCGTCTCCCATTGCAGAAACCCATTTTTCAGCATCAATACATGATATGGCTTCTCTGTACATAGAAGGCTCATAAGTATCCACCTCTTCAGCGACCTGTAATGCATATCCGACCATATCTTCAAAACCATATCTCACTGGCGGTCCAACTCCTATCCTCTTTGGTCTGTCTTTCGCAATACTGCGTGCTGTAGTTCCAGATGGTTCAGTTTCTGATAGAGTTGGTTCTGGTTGAACGTCTTCTACTTGTTTCCCTTGACCCTCTTCGTGTTGCTGCAGATCGCTCTCTTCACGTTCAATCTCCTACTCCACCTGCTTGTCAACACTACCACTCTGCGGAAATTGTAGGCTCTGCTGAGAATCTGAGCATAGAACTTTCATCAAATACTATATTCCTGCTTGTAATGACTCTCCTTTCTGATGGAGAACAGATTCTGTATCTTTTGACTCCATCTCCATAGCCCACAAATATTCCCTTCTTTTCTCTTGGCTCAAGCTTGCCTTCACTAACGTGGTAATAGACCGTGCAACCAAAAACTTTCAGGTAAGTGTAGTCAGCAGGTTTACCTGTCCACATCTCAATTGGTGTTTTGCATTCAATACCTTTGTGTGGTCCATGATTTATCAAGTAGCATGCAGTACTTACAGCCTCGGCCCAAATTTTCCTTTCTAAGCCAGCATTTGAGAGCATGCACCTCGCCCTTTCCAGCAATGTCTGGTTCATCCGTTCAGGTACATCATTCTGCTGAGGTGTATCTCTAACTGTGTGATGACGCGCAACACCTTCATCCATGCAAAATTGATTGAACTCTGACGAACAGAACTCCAAGCCATTATCTGTTCGCAACCTTTTAACCTAATTCCCTGTTTGATTTTTCACTAAGGCTTTCCACTGCTTGAAATTCTTGAAAGCTTCACTTTTGTGCTTCAGCATGAACACCCAAGTTTTTCTTGAGTAGTCATCAATCATGGATACAAAATATCTGCGACCTCCCAAAGACTCCACGCGAGAAAGACCCCAACAGTCTGAGTGAATATAATCCAGCGTGCCTTTTGTTCTATGAATAGCCTTAGGAAACTTGCTGCGGTGAAGCTTTCCATAAACACAATGTTCACAAAACTCCAGACTCTTGACTTCATGGCCATCAAGAAGATTTTCCTTTGACAGAATTTGCATTCCTCTTTCACTCATGTGACCAAGCCTCATGTGCCATAGCTTTGTCATACCTTCCATGTGAATCTCCAGAGATGCAACATTAGCTGAGCCTGTAACCGTGGAACTTTGCAAGATGTACAAGGTACCATGTATGACACCCTTCAGGATCGTGTCATAACCCTTGCAGACATTCAACACGCCATCTCCACCAGAATATTTGAAACCCTTGCTGTCTAATAGACTCAGAGATATCAAATTTTTTGTCATAGAAGGAGCATGTCTCACATTGGTCAGCGTACAGAATCTACCGTCATGTGTCCTAATGTTGATTGATCTAATCCCAACAACTTTGCATGCAGAACTGTTAGCCATCTTGATACTGCCATTATGTACATGCTCGTATGTGGAAAACCACTCTCTCCTTGGACACATATGATAGGATGCTCCAGTGTCTAGGATCCACACATCAGATGGAAGTGTGTGTTCTTTCGCAGCCAGTGCAATGTCTCCTTCTGACTCAGTGTCACCGTCAGCTACAGCAGCCGAAGTGGATTGCTTCTTCTTCTTAGGACAATCAGTTTTCCAATGCCCCTTTTCCTTACAGTAATTGCAGATATCATCTGGTTTAGGACCTTTCAAGAATGTTCTCCTTACATTCTTCTGCCTGCTATTTCCACCACTAACAAGCAGACCGGAAGCTTGATTATCTGCAACTGTACCAGATGCCTGATGTCGCAGCTCTCTACTATGAAGGGATGATCGGACCTCTTCCAGAGATACAGTATCTTTACCGACTATAAATGATTGCACAAAGTTCTCGTATGATAGCGGTAGTGATACCAACAAAAGCAGCACAGCATCCTCATCCTCCACCTTAACATCGATACTACGTAGTTCTAGTTGTAACATGTTTAGCTGATCTAAATGATCTCTGAGTTGCGTACCTTCCTGCATTCTTAGCCCGAAAAGACGTTGTTTCAGAAGCAGCTTGTTCGTTAGAGACTTTGTCATATACAACATCTCTAACTTAGCCCATAATCCAGCCGCAGTCGTTTCACTTGCAACCTTGACGATGCTATCATCTGCAAGACACAACAAGTTTGATGCGTGTGCTTTCTCTTCCAGACTTACCATCTCAGCAGCATCACCCTTGTTATTTTTAACTAGCGGCGCCCATAAACCTTGTCGCTTCAGCAACGCTTACATCTTGATTTGCCAGAGGCTGAAACTGTTTCTCCCTGTGAACTTGTCGATCTTCACGTTTATTTCAGACATCTTCTCACCAGACACGGAAAACTCCCACAACCTGGAGCTCTGATACCAGTTTGTTGTAACGGATGCAAGAAGAAAACAGTAAACGTAAAGATTGCACACAGAATTAACGTGGTTCACCAACGATGTGTTGGCTACGCCCACAGGCAAAAGAGACTAATTTTATTACGGAGACAGAAAGTTCAGAATACATCAGAGATTAGGTTAACATGCTTATTTATAGCATAAACCCTAATTAAACCTAACCGCAATTGGGCTCATTCACTTAGGCCCATGTCAGAACCTTCATGCAGAAAACGGCCCAAATGCACGCACACTTCTACATTGCTCGCGCAGGCTGTAGTCTTCAACATCAGCTTACACTTACATGTAGATCTCAACATCAGCTTCAGCATGCAGCATGCAGACATACATACACAACCTCAAGACGCAGTATGTAAACTTAAACATGTTGCAAGTAACCTGCATGCTTGATCACGCATGCTGCATGATTGATCGTGCAGCCTGCACGCATCAACGCCAGAAAGCTTTTACGCTCCAGGATTCAAAGCATATCAACATCATTTACCACTTATGAGGTAGACAGAGCTACGAGCTAGAGATTTGGTTACCATTTCATAACATACCCCTCAAGTTAAAATATGATAATATTTTTTTATTGATCTCTTCATTTTCAAATATGTAGCATACCCTCGATAGCAACAAACTCTAATATTTAAACCATGGTTCCTTTGTAAATGTAAGATTCAAATTTATAGTAACCGTATAAGTAGCATAGAATTCATTTAATTTTTGTCAGTGATCTCTATCAATTTAGTGTTTCATCAAATAAATATAAAGATCACATGTAAGACAAATACGAAAAAGAAAAGTTATGAATATAATGTTATCGGATAAAATTTAGCAAAATAAAATACATGTAATTTGGTTTTTTATATCGTCCATAAATTGATCAGTTTCATATATTGCTTATTGTCTATATAAAATATTTTAAAAATTAATAAATAAAAATATTTAAAAATAGCTCAAATTTGAATAAATATTATTATAAAAAAGAATTCAAACAGTAATTTTGTCTTATAAAATATTACGCGCGCAAACATGTTTTTAAAAAATTTAAAATATGCATATAAAAGTTCCTAGAAATGATATTTTCCCAAGTTTAGAACACAATACAAATCTATAACATTAATAGAGTTTCCGTTAAAATCAATAATCAAAAACAAAAATAACTGATTTTAGTCAAATTTTCATATGCAAATGTATGAATATTGATGGTTTTAAGCAATAAACAAAGTGAAGAAAATATATATATACACCCACCAAAGTAGGGGTTTCAACTTCATCGTCTCTTTTATCGGACTCCGTCAAAAAAGCAACCGTACTTTTTCCCCCTTTTCCTGGCGTTGAATCTCATGGCGGGAATCAGATTGCAACCGGAAGAACCGGAGACAACTCCTCAGCAACAAGCCAGAGCAGCAGCAGCGGCGGCGACGACGACGGATAGTTTGGCTTCCGACGACGATCGATCTATCGCGGCGGATTCGTGGTCGATCAAGAGCGAGTATGGAAGCACTCTCGACGACGATCAGCGCCACGCCGACGCCGCCGAGGCTCTCTCCTCCGTCAACTTCCGCGTCTCTTCAGATTATAGGTTTCTGAATTTCTCACCGATTCTTCTTTGTTCTATGAAATCGCAGAAAGTTACGGATTAGAGGGAAGAAATTTGAGGGGTTTTGTGAAGGATAAATGTAGATTTTAGGGAAATTATAAGGAATTGTGAGCTATGTCGAATTACTTTTGCCAGATCTTAGGGTTTACTTCCACTAGTTAACACGAATCTATTGAGTATTGATGATTGAAATGTTGTGCAACAGTTCTGACAAGGAAGAGCCAGATGCTGATGGAGGACAGTCAATGCTTGGTCTTCAAAGCTATTGGGACGCAGCTTATTCCGATGAGCTCACAAATTTCAGGGAGCATGGTCATGCTGGAGAAGTTTGGTAAACCATTCATTCATTTTTTGATCTCACCATAGATCTCTCTCTGATCATGGAACTTGAGAGTAAAGATCCTTCATTTTCTTGGTCGCTAGCTAGTGGAAGTTAATTGACTTTAACTGCTTTCATTTCCTCCTCAGGTTTGGAGATGATGTCATGGAGATTGTTACTTCTTGGACAAAAGACTTGTGCATTGAGATTTCTCAACGAGAGATGTCTGTTTCTGACAACGATGTCAAGACGGAGGTGAATGATCATGCTGGCAAGTATTTGTCTAGCTGGAATGTGCTTGACCTTGGTACCGGAAATGGCTTACTCCTTCATCAACTTGCTAAGGAGGGGTGAGCGTCTAAACATTTCCTTATGCTCTGGCCTTTAAATGCTTAACTATGTGCCGTTACTATGTCATTGGGCATTTTACATAAGCTGATTCCCACTAGCAAGTCTGAGAACTGGCTATCATTAATATCTTCTATTGGCTCTCTTATTTCACGCTAGCACACAATTCATGTTGGCATGTGGTTATTTTATAATATAGTAGCATAGTAAATGAACTTTAAAGTTCTACAAGGATGCTTAGATGGTGGCCGTATATCACTGGCCTTTCGGGGATATAAGTATTTACGGCCACAGTAAACTTATACGATTTTAGGTTCTGAAGCTGTTTCGCATTCACATTGAAAGTAACCAGTGTTTTTCAAAATATAGAGAGGTGCCATAGAAGATAGTATACGAATGAAGTATATTGAGAATAGTAAATGGCCTTGTCTCCTTATGAAACAGAAATGTTACTAATATCTGTATACCTCAGACGTTTTACCCTCGAGCTTGTTTAGTTAATGTAATGGAAGCCCTAAGTATCGTGAATGTGATATTGGATTTTAGCTTTAGCATTGATGATTTTTACTTGAACATAACGTTTATACACCGGCGCATGTCCCCTCAGAGTCTTATATTTAGATAACTCTTTTCTTTTCATTATTAATCTCATCGTTGCACTTTTCTGGCTCAGGTTCTCTGATTTAACCGGGACTGATTATAGTGAAGGAGCTGTAGAACTAGCTCAGCATCTCTCCCAACGTGATGGGTATCCAAATATCTGTTTCATGGTATGACTTTATTTAGCTTAAATACCGAAAAGATTTGCACAACCCATGACAAGCATTCTTCTTCCATAAAATTTCAAATGCTATTATGAGAACAGAGTCTTTTCCTGTGTATATATTTCCTTTCATGAAAAATGGTAACTGACCTTGATCAAGCAATGGGGGTATGTTAGTTACGTACATTAAAATCTAGTAGTACAGAACTCAAAATCTTCTCCATGAACCAACTACTTGTGCTTACTTACTCCAATGAGCATCAAAGTTTTAAGAGTGTTTTACGTTGTGTAACTAACGGTTTGCTCTTGTAGGTTGATGATATCCTGGATACAAAACTGGAACGGCAGTTCAAGCTGGTAATGGACAAAGGAACTTTAGATGCTATTGGTTTGCATCCTGATGGCCCTGTCAAAAGGTACCTCCTTAGATTAATGATATCCTTTATAAGAAATTACATCATTTGCTTTTACCGACCACTCACATATTTTCGTCTATACTCTCATTTGTCTGTTTCAGAGTCATGTACTGGGATTCAGTGTCCAAGCTGGTTGCTCCTGGTGGAATATTGGTAAAAAAGCTTCTCGATTCTTGAAAAAATATACGTTAAATTTCCTGGTCCGCTTGCGATAGAACAGTTCCTCTAATAAGCAAACCTACCTCTATGCTAAACTCAGTTTGTGTTTTCTGCTTTCTCTTGAATAGGTTATCACATCGTGTAACAACACAAAAGACGAACTCTTGGAAGAAGTGGAGAATTTCAACATCAGAAAATCCAACTTATCTAGAGATGGAGATGATGCGACCAATGTGCTTAACTCTGGCTCTGAAGCTGCAAACAGAATCGATCATCCTCCGTTTGAGTATCTCAGCCATGTTAGGACATACCCGACCTTCATGTTTGGTGGTTCTGTAGGATCGCGTGTGGCAACTGTTGCTTTTCTAAGGAAATGAGAGCAGTTTGGGGTTTTTTTTCCTTTTGGGAGGGGTGGGGAGATATTTGCATAACATAATGCCTAAACTTTTTTTTTAATTCTCATCTCTTTTTTTTTTTTCTGGTATCAAGACTGTCCATGTGCTTTTGGTAGCTCTTAAATAACCTCTAAATTTATTGTCAGAAACTTTTGGTCTCTCAAAAACTGATGGTTTGGTCATTTATCAGTGTTGTCTATTTTCTTAGATTTAAGAATGTGAGGTAGATTGGATAAACTGATCTGACTCAAAACTGAACTCAAACACTGAACCAAATCTTATGGTTTGTTCTATATTTTGAAAATCTAAATCGAAAAAGAATGTAATGAAGTTGCTCTAAATCGAAGACGAACTCAAGCAAAAATCGAATTAAGTTGTTTACATATTAGTTTAGATTAGTGGTTGGAGTAGACGGTTTGCAAACATCCATGATGTTCAAATGAACCATATCGAACGTTTTGTTCAACCTCTCATTTTAACCATTTGTTTCATTAATAATTGGTAGTGTATCGGTTCGTCTCCAAACCTAGATACTAATCAGATCCTATTTTCATTGACGAAACATTAGTTAAACCCAAACCATTCGAACAGTAACAATCAGGTAGTCAATTAAAACAAGTGGGAGAAGAGCAAATCCTCCAAATTTTTTTGAAACGGAATATCTACATATGACAAAGTTAGACTCTCTTGAGTGTGATGTTTAAGATAGAAACTTGTAAATCAATAAGAGAGTCGAAGAATCATACACGTTAGATACAAAAAAATATCACCATTTCGTAGTTGATACGGCAGCGTTTTAGTTCTAAAGGAAACAACCTCCAGTAACAGCCCCATCATTTTGCTTCATCCTATTTCTTGGAGAGAAGACTCAAAAAAAAAAAAAGCTTCAGAAACCAAGAACAATGGAGATGAGTTTGAATCTCGCGTCGTCTTCAACCTCAAACCCTGTTTTCCTTTTCAATCCGATTCTCTCAGGAAAAAAACTCAATTTCCCAAACCGTCACCAGAGAATCCCTAAAAGAGCGAAACCCATTTGCGTTAGGTCTTCGATTAACTTGTCTGGACCCAGACAAACCTTATCTAGTAACTGGGATGTGTCTAGCTTCTCCGTTGATTCCCTTGCTCAATCGCCTTCTCGTCTCCCCAGCTTCGAGGAACTCGACACCACAAACATGCTGCTCCGTCAGAGAATCGTCTTTCTGGGCTCTCAGGTTTTTTTCCCAAGTTTCCCGAATTTTTTATGCCAAATTTTGTATTTCTGGAATTGTTCTGCATAGATAATCGATTTGGTGGTATAACGATTCTTTGGCTCTCTGATTTTGTTAAGGTTTGTACTTTTTTTATTGTGTACTTAACAACTTCAGAGTTCTTGATTCTTAAAGCAAGAAGATAAGACTGTTTTGTATTGATTAGAATGGTTTATTGGAGCATTTGATATAGTTTAAGCTGTTTGTAGTATTTCCTCAACATGCTGTGTCAGTAGAATGCACAGGAACTTGATCAACTCAATAAATTGTTTGATGAGACTTAGAGAGAGAGAGGAGAAGTTGCGGATATAAAACTGTGTTCTTGTTCTACCGCGACTCAAGCTTTATTTCTTGATTCTTAAAGCAAAAAAAAAAAAAGATTGTTTTGGTTGATCAGAATGGTTATTAGAAATCATTTGATGTAGGTTTAGGCTGTTTCTATCACGGGAACTTAATCAACTCGATAAAAAGAGACTTAGAGAGACGAGAGTTGTGGAGATAAAGCTGTGTTCTTGTTCTACCGTGACTCAAGCTTTCTTGAATTACACAAGTTGTATCAGATTTCTTGATTCTTAACACAAAAAGATTGTTTTGTGGTTATTAGAGTGATTATTAGAAAGCATTTGATGTAGGTTTAGGCTGTTTCTAGCTCGGGAACTTAATCAACTCGATAAATGGTTTGATGAAACTTAGAGAGACGAGAGTTGTGGAGATAAAGCTGTGTTCTTGTTCTACCGTGACTCAAAGCTTATTCTTGAATTTTGATATTTCTCCAGGTCGATGATATGACAGCAGATTTGGTCATAAGCCAGCTCTTGTTACTAGATGCTGAGGACTCAGAGAGAGACATCACACTCTTTATCAATTCACCTGGTGGTTCTATTACTGCTGGTATGTTCGATTCTTCCTCGTTTCTATTGTGCAAATGTCGATTTTTTTCGGTTTTTGAAATGTTTTGGCATTAGGGATGGGAATATATGATGCAATGAAACAATGCAAGGCGGATGTATCAACTGTTTGTTTAGGTCTAGCTGCATCAATGGGTGCGTTTCTTCTTGCTTCTGGTTCAAAAGGGAAACGTTATTGCATGCCTAACTCTAAAGTCATGATCCATCAGCCACTTGGTACTGCTGGAGGCAAAGTATGGTTACTTGGATCTGTTTTTTATGCTTCTCGTTCTTCGTTTTTGTATCACAGAACCTTAAAAGGTTCACTTTCAGGCAACGGAAATGGGTATACGCATAAGAGAAATGATGTACCACAAGATTAAACTAAACAAGATCTTTTCAAGAATCACCGGGAAGCCTGAATCACAGGTACTTACTTGCATATCTGAAATCACATCGGTTTTCTGCATGATCACTTTCTTTACAATAGTTTTTTATGCTATGTTTCCACAGATCGAAGGTGACACAGACCGTGATAATTTCTTGAATCCATGGGAAGCGAAAGAGTATGGTTTGGTAGACGCTGTAATCGATGATGGCAAACCGGGTTTAGTCGCACCGATTGGTGATGGTACTCCTCCACCTAAAACCAAAGTTTGGGATCTTTGGAAAGTTGAAGGAACCAAGAAGGATAACAAGAACTTACCAAACGAGCTCTCCATGATACAGAATGGTTCAGTCTCTAGCGAATAGAGCTGTTTGTTGCAGCGTTTACTGTCATGATTCTTTATGCTAAATGTGGTTTGCAACTATAATATGAGGTTTCTTGTGTTATGTACCATTTCTCAGATAGATTTTGGGAGTCATTTTAAAGCAAAAGATATAGTTTTGTTTGTTGAATTTGTAGCTACCAATCAGGTTGAGAGAGAGAGCAAATTTTTAGAAAGCAAAAAAAAAAAAAAATGAGGGATTTTCAATATATTGATTGATTCGTTTCCAATTAAAATCTAGATATTTTTAGGTTCTTACCTTAAACGTTAAACGTAATTATTTTTCTAAAGCAAACCTTTAAATCGCCTAAAATCAGGAAAATGTGTGTGAGGGAAGGTTGACTAAAAGTCAACGCATACATATTTTGACTAACACGGTTAACGATTATAATTTTTTAATTTATTATTGATGATGAAATTATCTTCTTACCAAAAAAAAAAAATTGACAGGTTCGTGTATCAATGTTTCCAATTTGTCGATGTTGTTGCATTTCAGAACAAACCATTAATCATGTTTTTCTTAAAGTGTAGTGAAATATTGTGAAAGTGCAAACTTCACTCAATTTGATAATCTTGAGAAAGGATTAGTAAACATAAACTTGCAAAGAGTGTTAGTGATCAATAAGAACACAACTTTATTTCCAACACACCGTAAATTTTTTCTTCCTTTGTTAAAACGAAAACAAGTGTTTTACCAAAAAAAAAAAAACGAAATCAAATGTTATTAACACTAACTTAACATCTTAAACCCCCCCCCTCCCCAAAAAAAAAAATTGTTATTAACGCGACGTCGTTTTGCAACTTCATTTTTTTTTCATTTCTACTCGCTTAGGGTTGTCTCCACAGTCAGTGAATCATACACTCACAAGATTCAGCCATCGGAGACGATTTTCGAGATGTCGATTCCGCCGAGACCCACCGACCCTCGTTCCCCGAAGAGGCAAAGATTCCCTCCTGTCGTTGAAGACGACGAATCATCAGAAGACGACGAGGATTACACCGCCGCAAGTGTCGACGAGGAAGAAGACGACGAAGGCGACGACAGCGACGATTCGGAAGCCGCAAGCGTCGCCGAGGAGGAAGCGGTACGAGGAGAAGAAACAGTGATCGGAATCGCAGTTGGTGTAACGGAGGCACAACCTGCAAGATCTGTAAGCAGTTGCAGCCCGAGTTCTTCTTCATCGCCGCAACAACAATCCATAAAGCTGAAAAGTTCCGATGTTCTCGATTGTCCCACTTGCAACGAGCCACTCAAGAGACCAATCTATCAGGTTTTTACCCTCCTTATTCGATTTCACGAAATTCTCGTAATGTAGGATCAATTCATTGACAGTCGAATTGCATTAGCCAAAAGTAGAATAGTGGAATTGCAGATATGAACATTTCCGGCAAAAAGGGCCTCATTTGTAATTGGTAATGACCTAATTGATGAAGATGAATCTCGAATTTTGATTTGGTACATAATTGTTTTCTGGGTCAATGAGTTTCACTAGAAAGTGGAGAAATTGAATGATTCTAGCTAGCTTTTTGGTGTTGATTGCTTTCAATTTTCTAATTGCAGATATGAACATTTTCCTGCTTATTTTTAGGTCACAATAGGATTGACCTTGATGAAGATGAATCTCGAATTTCAAGTCATTTGATTTTGGTTACAGAGTTGTTTACGGATCAATGAGTTTCATTTCTGTGTTGTTGATTGCTTTCAGTGTACTAATGAGCATCTAGCTTGTTCCTCTTCGATTTCACAAATTTTCACAAAATTCTCGTAATGTATTATCGATTCATGGATTTTGGAATTGCATTAGCCAAACTAGAATAGCGGAATTGAAGATATGAACATTTCCGGCTAATTCTTAGGTCACAGGAGGATTGGTGATGGCCTAATTGATGAGAAGAATCTCGAATTTTGATTTGGATTACAGAATCGTTTTCTGGGTCAATGAGTTTCACTAGAAAGTGAGAAATTGAATGATTCTGGCTAGCTTTTTGGTGTTGATTGCTTTAAGTGTTCTTATTGCAGATATGAACATTTCCGGCTAATTCTTAGGTCACAATAAGATTGGTGATTTTTTAATTTTAAGTCGTTTGTTTTGATTACAGAGTTGTTTACGGATTAATTGAGTTTCATTTCTGTGTATTGTTCATTTGCTTTCAGTGTACTAATGGGCATCTAGCTTGTTCTTCATGCCTCCATAAACTGAGGAAGAAATGCCCGTTCTGCAGATTAGACATCGGTGACATTCGATGCAGAGCCTTGGAGATTGTCCTCGAAGCATCCATAGTCCCTTGCCGAAACACAGTACACGGGTGTACTGAGACCACCTCGTATGATACTCAATCAAAGCATGAGAAGGTGTGTATTTTCGTCCGGTGCTCTTGCCCTTTACCTAACTGCAGCTACATCGGCTCCTACACTGATGTCGAGAGCCACACTCGTTCTGTACACTCTTGGGACTCGGATAACTTCATCCCGTTTGTGCTGGATAGTCCTCAGATCTTTAGCATGAACCTCCGTAAGCAGAAGACGACTGTTTTTCAGGAAGAGAAGAAGGGTGATTTGATTGTGGTTCAAGCTTTCAAAGGATCGGACGGTGTGTACATGACCGTGAGCTCTATCTCGCCATTGACTCCGGGATTACCCAACTTCTCATGTAGTCTAGCTAAACTCAACTCGTATACCACGCTAAGGCTTGGATTGATGGTGAAGAAGATTCAGAAAGTTGAAGAGCAACTAGAGAAGCCTGACGTGAGCTTCATGTTGATTCCAACTTATATGTTGAGTGGTGATCACTTGAAGCTGCAAATTTGCATCGGTAGGGAATATAAGTATGTTCATATCTAAGAAAGATGTGTTGAGTCTTCTCCTCTTCACTGAATCATCATAAAACTTCTCTAACGGTGAACTTTTTGTTGTAACATTCAATTTCAGTGTTTGTTTGAAGTCTCCTTGCAGTGTTTTGCTTAGTTTTGAAATTGAAATTTCAGCTTATTATGTAAAGAACTCTTTTAGAGACTTGACTAGCCTGAGATAAAAACTCCACACCAACTCCAATGAAACATTAAAGAAGGGCATAGGTAATGAGCAAGAGATAGTGCAATAATATCAAATACTTTCTCATTGAGACACTTCCCACACAATGCACAAAAATCGGACAGTCTTTTAGCTACGATCAGCTACAATGTTGATTGCAACACCAATTTCAGAATCCTATTACATCAACCATCTAATGAGCTAGTTCCTCAATCAAATACGAGTCGGCATGTGGTTGAAGCTCGGGAAGATGATGACAACTCCTTGATCATCTCGAGTTTTGGAACATACCAGTCCTTACAGGAGATAGTTGCAGTCTCTAAGAGACGAGCGTTTTCCAAGATATAAACCGCAAAATCTCTCTCTGCTGGTCTTCCAAAGTATACTGACCAGTTGAAAATTCGCAGACTCGATAGCATACATTCAGGAGGAACAGCACTAAGTGGACACCACCTATAACTTTTTTCATAGTGATGATCCTTATTTCAAGAAGAACTAATTAGATTAAACCATATTGTGCAATCGACAAAAGGTAATAGTTTGTCAAGGAAACTTACTTTCATTACGTAGAGGTCTAGTACTTGTAAGTTAGGAGAAACCTTGAGCAACCAGACAAGGAGATTCGACGTATGCATATGGCATTGACATATCTTCAGATGTTCAAGTTGGTTGAAGACAAAACCGTTGACAAAAACCTTCAAATTAAAGATGAAAAAAGTATCAACAAAGGAATATATTATATATATATAAGTGAGACCGAAGACATGCAGTTGACAGATAGAAACAGATTACCATGAAACATGTTGTAAGACGCTTGACAGATGTGATTGATCCCATAAGATTACTGATTCCATACAATTTAACATCAATATATGCCTCCCTCAGCTCAGGCATGTTAGCAACCAAATAGATGAGACCTTTCCGATCCTCAAGTTTGATATACTTCAAAGAAGGAGTATCTATCACAAGCTCATCTACTCCACAATCATGAGGTACATTGAATGTTAAACTCTGCAAAGACGGGACGCTAACAGTGAGCTTTTCCATTTTGCCGCCATCACCTAAATCCACGGATAGCTCTTCAAGAACAGGGCAAATAGCTAGAAGCCGTTGAAGGGATTCTTTATCCGAGTATGTCACATCACGAAGTTGCAATGTCTTCAGAGAAGGAAGAGAAACCATCCGAGGAACGTCCACGAGAATCGCTCCACTGAGTTTCAAGATCACAAGCGCTTTGCAGGTATACAAGCTACTCGACGATACAGTTCGTTTTCTCGAATAAGAAACCTCGAGCTCACGTGGGCAGCGAGAAACAGCAAATAGAAGCCACAGTTTGATATCTGCGGGTTTGAAACGCTGACTTTTCAAGTGGAGACGGAAGCTTTCTATAATAAGAGCTCTATGTAATGGCAGATTTCTGTCGAGAAAACACCTTAACATCTTACATTCAGACACTGAATAATCTGTATCATCGTACTCAAGTTTAGGCAGCCACTTCCAAAGACACTCCCATCGTTTGGACAAAATACTAGTTGATACAGCAAGTTTTGTCGGAACAGAGGTTAATATCTTAATCAGCAATTCATCAGATAAATCACTGATTCTGTCCATATCTTTACAACCCAAAAGATATCGCTACCTGATAAAAGAAAGAAAAAAAGACATCTTTCAGATCCTAAAAGCCAACCAAACGAATTATTAACAAGTGAAAACACAGACACCAAAGAGGAACGTGACAGCAAAACCCTAGAAAAAAAGCTGGATTGTTAGGTAATGAGAATTTTACCTGTAGAGTTCGATTTTCACTCTGGAACCGGAATCAGAAGACAATTCAAAAGCGTCCGAACATCTGTCGAAGCAAATGTCAACAACTACTCTATAGCCATTTCAATTCTGAATAGATACTGATAGTAGACTGCAGAAATGGGAAGAAGAAAAGACGAACATGGTCTCAGGTGGTGGCCATGGGCTTGGGCCTGGCTCTACGCCAATCTGGCCTTTTCAGTACTAATAGCCCAATTCATTTTGATACTATCCGACGGTAGATATTGATAAATACTCAAATTTACTTTTCAGCAAGCATTTTTTTTTCTTTTTGATTTAAAAATAAATAAATAAAAGTTCAAATTACTAACATTTTTTTATTAAAATTTTTTTGTACTCTTGTTAATTCGAGTGAATTAGGTGAATATACCAAATAGGGAACGAAATTAGCTGCATGACCAAGGGTCCACCAAAAATTGTTATCACTGTGTTCATGGTCATCAGTAATGACAATCTTACCCCCAGATATTTTACCGAAGCTTAACATGAACAGCAGGTTCTGACAGTATGGTACAATCTATAGGGAACTAAAATATAAGTAGAGTAGGCAATATCTTTATGCAAGAAATTACAGCCACACAAATTTTTTTTCCTAGACGTATCATATACATTATAATAACAAGTTACATATTTTGATATAGATTAACAATTATTATATACACGATAAAAATAATGTTAGATTGATAACAATAATGAGTTATATAGATGATTAAAGATATTATTGATATACTCAGCATGTTACATATAAATTAACGTCCAACATTATAATTTACTAGATAAAAAATATGTTAAATTGCTAACAAGAATGAGTTATATAAATGATTAAAGATGTTATTGATATATTTAGCACGTAACATATAAATTAATGTCTAACCTTATAGTTAACATGGTAAAAAATATGTTAGATTGATAACAATAATAAATTATCTAGATTGTTATAGATGTTATTTTTGTAGTTAGTACGCTACAAATATATATAACACTCTATATATATTGTTAGCAGTCTAACAATAAAATTATAAAAGTAATTCAGATAAATACACACTATTATATACGTTAGCATCAATCTAATAGGATCATCATCGTTCTAACAGTTGAATACGAAGTTGTTTTTCCTTAAAAAAAAACCAGAAAAGAAATTTAATTTGATCAATGATGGAGAAATCAGGTGACTATACCAGTGTGCAACCAATTCAGATAGATGCACACTTATCATACTGGTGATAGCAATTAACTCTCTTGCCGCCTGGTTCTTCGCTAGCGGCGATATTCTCTTCGGCAGCAATGGTTCCATCTTGGTTAAAGGAGCACTCACCCGATTTCGAAATTTGTACAGTCTCCAGAGCCGATAAAAAATATGTGAAATGATGTCTTTTGTAAACGTCGGTTCTGTTGCCAGAAAGATAAACACCAGATGAATTTTTGGTTTGAAAAGGTGTTACAATTGAATAATTTCCCAAATTAATGCCACGTAGGGACAAAGTCTAGATTATAATCAATATTTTATTTTTGGGGAATCTGACAAAATTTCCTCTATAGTGTAGGTAGTCGCATAGATGAGTAGGGGCTAAAGGGTATTTAAAAAAATTGAACAGTGTCGTCTGCTGCTCTTGATCATTTTTGCAAATAGTCTTGTCGGGATGGTCATTTGTTATAATTATTCATACTCATATTTCCAATGACAAATCTAGAATAAAAATTAGTTGGAGCAAAAAACTTTTTTTACCACTTTTTTCCATTAAAATAATTTTTTTAATTAAATTTGCTTAAATATTTAAAAAAATATAAACTAGGAGGCACTGGACCCCACTCTTCCTCTGCTACCTCCGCCGCTGACTATTCCGATTCTTAAAATTCTTGTAATCTATTATCAATTTATGGATAAGTGGAATTGTTTTAGCCAAAAGTAGAATAGTGGAATTTGCAGATATAAACATTTTGGGCTAAGTCTTAGGTCGCACAGCTTCATTTGTAATTGATGATGACCTATAATTATTCGATTTCATTACAGAGTTGTTTTTTTTTTTTAAGTCTTCTGCAGTGTTTTGTTTAGTTTTGAATTTGAAATTTCAGATTATGTTCGAGCAAAAAAAATTCAGATTATGTAAAAATTTTTTTTAACAATTTTAATTCATCCGTGACTTTTATTTTATAGCTTATATATTAGATTAACTGGACTATCCTGAGATAAAACTTCACACAAACTCTAAAAAAAACATTAAAGAAGGGGATAGGTAATGAGCAAGATAGTGCAATAATATCAAATACTTTTTTCATTGAGACACGTCCCACCTAAAAGCACAATGACTAATATTTAGGGTTTTTGGTTTTAAGTCATTTTGATGATCTTTTCTAGTGAACATTTCTGCATGGTTTGTTTGGAACATGCAATCTATAAAACCCATGATTGGACTCCCACAAAAAAAAGTTTCATCTATGGAGATTTCGTTGGATCAGAACGTTAACTCTATATTTATATTACTAACTAGTCTTAATTTTTTTCTTTATGGGTTTGATATTAAGACATTTAGCGTTTTATTGTGGATCCATCTCTGATCCAATCAAGATTGTTGCACTCTTTAATCAGAGAGAGTTTATCAAGATTTATATATGTCGCGAGATCTCTCTCTTATACGCTTACAAGGCTCATCAACAAACATTGAGGAACACTGATTAAGAAAAATTAAGATCTGAACATACAATTAAACACCCCAAAAACGTTAAGATCTTAAACAAAACCCCTAAGATTCTTCTGTTACCTTAACAGTAGAGTAAATAGACTTTCTTTTTTTTTTTGTGAGTAAAGAGACTTGAAATTTTGTCTGAGCTACTCAGAGGACTAGTAATAACCAAAGGCAGAGGCAGAAAGAATAATAAAAACAGATTGAACGGAAAGAAAACATAAGGAGTCTCCATCAAGCCTCAATATTAAAATTTGAAAGAATCTGAATCCTATTACATCAATGAAAACATCTAATGATTTAGCTCCTCAATTAAATTCGAGTCGGCATGTGGTTGAAGCTCGGGAAGATAATGACAACTCTTTGATCATCTCAAGTTTTGGAACAAACCATTTCTTAGAGGAGATAGTTGCAGTCTTTAAGAGACGAGCGTTTTCCAAGATATAAACTGCAAGATCTCTCTCTGCTGGTCTTCCAAAGTATAATGACCAGCTGAAAATCCGTAGACTTGATAACATACATTCAGGAACAGTACTAGGTTGATCCCACGCTTCCAAGTCATCAGACATAAGATACTTTTTCTAAGCAGAATAAATGAGATTAAACCATATTGTGAAATGGACAAAAAATAATAGTTTGTCAAGGAACACTTACTTCCATATTGTAGAGGTCTAGTACTTGCAAGTTAGGAGATTCTTTGAGCAACCGGACAAGGAGATCCAACGAATAAGATTTCTCTATGAATAGCTTCAAATGCTCAAGTTGGTTGAAGACAAAAGCGTAAGCATAATAAGGCTGCAAATTAAAGATGAAAAAAAAGTATTAACACATGAATACATATCTATATAAAGTGAGATCGAAGAAATGCAGTTGATAGATAGAAACTGCTTACATTTGCAGATATTGTAAGACGCTTGACCCATGTGATTGATCCGATAAGATTATGATTATCAAAGTAATCAACATCTATATGTGCCTCCCTGAGCTCAGGCATATTACCAACCAATAAGGTGCGACCATCATCAAACCGATCCACGAGTTTGAAATACTTCAAAGAAGGAGTATCTATCACAAGCTCATCTACTTCACAATCATAAGCTACACTGAGTGTTAAACTCTGCAAAGACCGGATGCTAATAGCGAGCTTTCCCATTTGATCGTCATCACCTAAATCCACGGATAGCTCTTCAAGAACAGGGCAAATAGATAGAAACCTTTGAAGGGATTTTTTGTCTGAGTATGTCACATCACGAAGTTGCAATGTTTTCAGAGAAGGAAGAGAAACCATCCGAGGAACGTCCACGAGAATCGCTCCACTGAGTTTCAAGATCACAAGCGATTTGCAGTTATACAAGCAACTCAACGATATATTTCGTTTTCTCCGATTAGAATAAGAAACCTCTAGCTCTCTTAGGCAGCGAGAAACTGCAAATTGAAGCCACAGTTTGATACCTTCACGTTTGAAATGCTGATTATTCAAGTGGAGACGGAAGCTTTCTATAACAAGAGCTCTATGTAATGGCAGATTTCTATCAAGAAAACACCTCAGCCTCTTACATTCAGACAATGAATAATCTGTATCATCGTACTCAAGTTTAGGCAGCCACTTCCAAAGACACTCCCATCGTTTGGACAAAATGCTAGTCGATACAGCAAGTTTTGTCGGAACGGAGGTTAATATCTTAATCAGCAATTCATCAGATAAATCACTGATTCTGTCCATATCTTTACAACCCAAAAGATATCGCTACCTGATAAAAGAAAAAAAAAAGACATCTTTAAGATTCTAAAAGCCAACGAAACGAATTAGTAACAAGTGAAATCACAGATACCAACAAAACCCTAGAAAAAAAAGCTGAATTGTTAGGTGATGAGCGTTTTACCTGTGAAGTTCGATTTTCACTCTGGAGACGGAATTAGAAGACAAATCAAGAGCGTCCGAACATCTGCAGAAGCAATTGTCAACAACTACTCTATAGCCATTTCAATTCTGAAGAGATACTGATTGCAGAATGCAGAAATGGGAAGAAGAAGAAGAAAAGAAGAACATGGTCGTGGCCATGGGCTTGGGCCTACGCCGATGTGGCTTTTTCAGTACTTTTAATAGAATTCATTTTGATACTATGTGACGGTAGATATATTGATAAATACTCAAATTTGTTGTATACTATTGTGTATACTTATGTGTATATACATCTCTATCTATAATATAATATAGAAAATATATTTATGAACAAATAGAAGTAAGAGAGACTAGAGAAATGAGATGATTTTTTATTCACTCGTCCATCTTACAAGGTAAGTCAGATTTTTATACAAGAGAACAATACATAAAATATTGGTAACCGACTTAATTGAGTTGGTAGGTATAGCGGCGGATTTGGATAATTATCCAGTTTATAACATTCCCTTTTAATTATCCATCACCACCAATATATTCAATGATAAAAATTATATAAAAAAAAATGCAGTAACATTTTCCTGAAAAATATATATTCTTCTTTTCCATCGAACGTTTAGATAGTGGAATCTTTCACTTTGATAGATGAATCTAGACTTTTACGTTATTTGGATATCTATCTTTGGCGTATTCTTTGATGCCTCATTAAAAACCTCAGTATGGAAAACCCGATGGGATAAAAACCATGGTAAGAGAAAAAAGTGCATCTACGCATATCATCACAATTCTTCTTTCAGAATTATTCCTCTTTAGAGATTTATATTTTGCGTGTTCCTTGCTGCCTCGTTAAAAACTTTTTTATGGAAAAATCCATTGAGACAAAAACCATGATAAGGGAAAAAGAGTACAGCCACGCTCGTCTTCTAGACGAAACTCTTTATATGGTTCTTATAAAAACCCATTAATATATGTATTCCGGACATATATCTTTGTATGGTTCTTCTAAAACCTTTTCATAAATGTATTCATGACATTTTTCTCTATATGGTTCTTCTAGAACTTTTTTACAAATGTCTTTAAGACATCTTTATTCAGTTCTTCTGGAACCTTTTCACAAATGTCTTCAGGACATCTTTATTCGGTTCTTCTGTAACCTTTTATATAGTTCTTTTAGAACCTTTTCACTTAAGAGGGGATTTTACCTTACAAACCCATCGGCCTCCCGCACTTTAATTGAACCCGCAATTCATTTGCTCTATTCTCATCAATAATTTGTTCTGAAACATTTATTTTGATAGAGCATTAGCAGCGGGGATATGTGATTTTGTCACCCATCTTATATCTTTGAACACATCAAGTGACAAGTTTGCCAAACTTTGCAAATTTATAATTTTATGAACTCTACCTCACGTTTATTGGTAGAAGGATCGAGATAAGCCAAAGTTTATATTCACTTTTGTGCTATCTTTTGGTGATTCTCTAGATCCTCCTCCTCAACGCAGAGAATTCATTTTCATCAAAGTGGCAATCGGAAAAATGTGCCGTAAACATATCTCCAATTACCGGTTCAAGATATCACCTCTGGAATAATCCCTTATATTATACTACTCGAGAAAAACTCTTCAGGAGTTTTGATGATCATCATTCTTTAATTCGATCGAGTAGTGTTCCCGGAAACAGAATTCCAATATTATCCTTTAGGGATTAATTCCTCTAGGGGTTAATCTTTGGTTCCAACTTTTTATAATGACATGGTGAGTCAAGATCTCTTATCATCGATTTCATTCAGGTACCTGATTTTATTTCAAACCATGTCAACAATCTCTTCAGGAGATTAATCCTCTTTCGCTCCTTTTCTTTTGAGGATTCGGAACCAAAATATTCTATCACATTTTTTTACGTGTCATAGACTCAAATAGACCGTCCTTCAGGGACATCTATTTTTTAGTAGAGCTTAGCTGGGATATTAGATTTTGTTTTTTCACTCAATATGAACTTCAGGTTCATATGAGGATCCATCAGCTGTTTTCTATATGCCATACTGCATATTTTATGTCACCACATGGAGATCACCGTAATTGATTTTGTAATCCCTTGGATTTGCTTTATCTTAAACTCATTTTGAGTGCGAACATAATCTTCTAGATGTTCAGCTTACACTCGATGTGGGATTCCTTAATTCTCCCCTCGAGATGATGACATTATCAAGGTCTATCCATCTCAAATTGAATCCCACTCTAAGACCAACTACATATCCAATGAGCTTTAAACAAAAAGAAATGGTGATCTATCCATGGATGCTTTTCACGATGGCTTTATTTTTTTTCTTTTTTTATGACATGCAATAGTTGAAAAAATCTTCTGCTTTTTTCAACATGTATTCTCAATGATCTTATATCATTGGAACTACCGGGATGGCTTAACCGGTTTTTTCAGTTAGTAAACTTCAGGTTTACTATGGTATATACCCTTGCCATTTTTTTTTTATTATCACATATATGCATGTCACCATTGTGTGCTCTTGTGGAGCATTTTTCTCTTTCGGAGCTTCTAGCTCTTCCGGAGCTTTTAGCTCTTCCGGAGCTTTTAGCTCGTACGGGGCTTTTAGCTATTCTGAAGCTTCTAGCTCTTACGGGGCTTTTAGTTCTTCCGGAGCTTCTAGCTCTTACGGAGTTTTTAGCTCTTATGGAGCTTTTAATTTTCATAGCTTTTTAGCTCTTCCGGAAGTTTGGACTTTTAAAGACATGTTTCGATATCTTTAATCCATATTGTAATTGATAAAATTTAAAAGATATTAAAACATATTAACTCATAATAATAATATACCTGGTATAGCTTCCATAGGTTTGAAGGCACCAAGCCTATCATAAAAATAAAGGAGGAAGTATAACCTTTCACTCCATCATTTTGTGTTCATGGAGGAGGCTTAACATTCCACTCCATAAAATTTGATTAAGGAGGAAGATTAAACCATCAACTCCATAATTTTATGATCACATAAGGGGTTTAACCTTCTATTCCATAAATATATGATCTAGGAGGAGGCATAACATTTTACTCCATAATATTAGTAAGGAGGAGATTTAATCTTTCACTCCACAAATATAAATACAGAGGAGGATTAACCTTCCACTCCATCATTTTCTGATCATGGAGAAGGTTTAACCTTCCACCCCAATATTTTGTAACCATGAAGAAAGTTTAACTTTTTACTCCATAAAAAAATTTTAAATATATAAACATAAATTAAACAAGGAAGAGGCATAATCTACCACTCCATAAATAAATTTAAATATATAGCATAAATTAAATAAGGAGGAGGTACAACCTACCACTCTATAAATATAAACAAGGAGGAGGTTTAACCTTCAACTCCATAATTATGATCTAAGGAGATATAGTCTACCATATGATCATATGATTGTGAAGGCATAGCCTATCATAACGATCGGTTTGGGGAAGGCATAACTTATTATCCCGTAAACTTGAAAATAAATTAAATATAAATTTAAATCATCGGTTCGGGGAAGGCAAAGCCTATTTTCTCGAAATAATACATAAACGGAGAAGACATAGCCTTTCTTTCCGTAAATATATAAACTTTATATCAACTAAACATAAATTAAATCTTACCTCTAAATATATGGACGGATTAAGTATAACGTGTTGTATACTATTATGTATACTTATGTGTATATACATCTTTATCTATATTATATTATATAAAAAATATATTTATGAACAAGTAGAAGTAAGAGAGACTAGAGAAATGAGATGATTTCTGTTTCTTATTCACTCGTCCATCTTACAAGGTAAGTCAGATTTTTATACAAGAGAACAATACATAAAATATTGGTAACCGACTTAATTGAGTTGGTAGGTATGGCGGTGGATTTGGATAATTATCCAGTTTATAACAAAATTAATTTTTTCAGCTAGCATTTTTTTTTCCTTTTTGAACTTTTTGATTAAAAATTTCAAAATTTCTTTTTTTTTATTACGGTAAAAATACTTTTGAAAAAGATTACAATCTTTGAATACAGCAGTAGATAATCACGAAGGAGAATACAATTCTGCAGAGTACAAAATAGAATTTGGAGGACAGTGCCATGCAAGTAAATGTGCAGGTTTATTGTAGGTTCTCAAAGTATGAAAGAATGTGCATTTCTGAAATTTATTTTTCCAATAGAAAATATCAGAACATATATTTTCAAGTCTATAATCTTCTGATTTTCCATTTAGAATATTTATAAGAACTTTGTAATCTCCTTCAAAATACTACTAATTTGAAGACTCAAAGACAAAAATAATCGTCGGAATTCAGCCACTTTCGCCCAAAACTATTGATTCAAAAAATTCTGATAATATTAATTTATGGATAAATGAGATTGCATTAGCCAAACATGGAATAATGGAATTTCTAGATATGAATATTTTCGGCTAAGTGTTAGATCATCTCTAATGGTCTCTGAATTTGAGGAAAAACATCAAAAAACGAGGAAAATCTTTATCTAATACAGTAAAATCTCTGTAAATTAATATTCTATAAATTAATAATCACTATAAAATAATTAATTTTTCTTGTCTCAAGTCGGGCTAATGTAAAAATCCATTAAATTTGATAAGATAATAAGATAATAATTTTTTGAAACTCTTATGTAAATATATGGTTCCAACAAAAATATAAATTAATAATTGTATAAATTTATGCAAATATATATATATATATAATATACTATACTAAAATATGACTAATGTATTTGTTTTTACCTAAAGTTGAAATTTCATTGGTATTTATTTTTTTGCTTATTACATCTCTATCTCTTATTATTATTATTCGATATACATTCAAATTTGTGAAGAATTTTTAATGTGATAATTGATTTTCTTACACGTAAATGTTTACAAATGTTTTGTAGTATTGTCTTCAATTTCATATTTTTTATAATAGCTACAGTTTTTTTATAAATTTTGAACTTTTATAAACACATATATTTTTATTGATAAACTAATATGCTATTAAAAAATATTTTGTTATGATAACTATGTTTATTAATCATAATTTTTATTAAGATATTCACTTAAATTCTTAAAAACAACATTATTCGACAGAAATTTTTAGAAGGATATAGGCGAAAACCAGATTATCTCTATAAATTAATAATTTATAGATAAATTAATATCACGATAAATTAATAAAATTTTATGGTTCCAACATTATTAATTTATAGAGGTTTTACTGTAGTACTTTTCATAAACATCAAAAATTGAGCTTATGAACAGTATTCCATCAAATTTGAAAGAATACTATTCGTCCCCTCATTTTACTT